TCAGATCCACACTGATCCTCTAAAGAGCATCCCACCCAAACCCACCTTATTCCTGTAATCCCACATTTCCCGTGGTTAACCCACTTAACCTGCACATCCCTGGACACTACGGGACATTTTAGCATGGCCAATCCACCCTAACCTGCACATCCCTGGGCACTACGGGACAATTTAGCATGGCCAATCCACCCTAACCTGCACATCCCTGGACACTATGGGACAATTTAGCACGGCCAATCCACCCTAACCTGCACATCCCTGGGCACTATGGGACAATTTAGCATGGCCAATCCACCCTAACCGGCACATCCCTGGGCACTATGGGACAATTTAGCACGGCCAATCCACCCCAAACTGCACATCTTCGGACTGTGGGAGGAAACCCATGCAGACTCGGGGAGAATGTGCAAACTCCACTCAGACAGTTGAGCGAGGCTGGAACCAAACCCAGGTCCCCGGCGCTGTGAGGCAGCAATGCTAACCCCTGAATTACTGTGCCACCCTGAACTTCAGGTCAATTCATTGGAACGGAAGGATGACAGAAAATGTAAGTATCTTTAAGACACTAGAAGGAGAGAGGAGACGGCGAACGAAAACGAGCAAAACCAAATACTGCAGAGGCTGATGATCTGAAATGAAAACAGAAACTCAGCAAGTCTGGCAGCTTCACTGTCAAGATTGCAATAAAGAAAATAAAATTATCAATTTATGTAAGTTACTGTTGTTGGGAAGTCAGGTAGAGTATTTGTGGATTGGGAGGCAGGATGTTAAAATTGGGTGCGTGTAAAATGCTGGGGGGTGGAGGGGGGAGCATTGCGTGGCCCCTTTAAAAGATTGCACTTTTTTTAATGCTTGGAGATGTCGGTGAGCAGCTTGAAAGTTTGCAAGTTACAAGAGCACCTGAACTGAAACATTACACCAAAGGCTATACGGTTAGTAGGGCAAGCACCAAGGCAACAGGTTTTTGAATTTAGCCAATCAATTTGAACCAGGCACTTAGATACCAATAACCTATCAAAGTTGAATCTGACGGTTTTGACAGCATGGGACCAATCCTATTGTAAAAAAATGTCATCTGGGGTATAAAAGAAGGGGGCAGTTGGAAAATCAGGAGAGCTAACTGCCATCTGCTAGAGATAACACTCTTACAGAAAGCACCATCTATTCACAATGGTACCATGGCACTCCTAGCTAATGTTCCTGACAGAATTCAGAGGAAGTATTCCTGACAGAAGAATCGACAGAGAAGAAACAGAACATTCCAGAAGATGTAACCTGGCTATAATTTCGAGAGGCTAAATTCTATTGTTTTGTTATATAAGTGGCACTTGTATTTATTGGAACAGCATACCATTAGAATCTTCCATTACTTGGGAATAGTTGGCAATTAGAATGGATTTGTTCAGTTTGTTGATAGTTTAGTTAATTTGTCCACCATTAGAGTCAGACAAATAAATTGTTACTTGTTGATTGTAAAGTGAGTGTCAGGGATTTGTTTGATTTAATCACGAGAAGGCGCTGACAGACCGGTTACACCCCCTTTTAACAGATTACAGAGGGAGGTGCTCCTGTTGGGTGTTTTGATTTTGGTCAACCTCCACTTTATAACTCTGTTGACATTTCAGAGTCATTCTCTATGTATAGCATAGTTGCTGTTGCTGAACTTTCAGTATTACAACTACCTAGTGACTCCAAACATTCAGACATGTTCTCCAATTTTCTTGTCTTGGCTGCCTAACATCATGTTCCATCCCCATGTCAAATTCCAGTGAAAATGGCCACCAAGGGTTCAGTATTAGAATTGTAACCCTCCAAGGCCTCACCTCCCACTCCAACAATATGTCTGTAACCTCCTCCCGCTCTACAATTCTCCATCATGTCTGTGCTCCTCCAGTTCTGGCCATTTGCTTATTGATTTCAATCACTCCACTATTGGTGGCAATGATCCAGCTGCTGATACCCCATGCAGTCTGGAGTTCTCTCCCTAAAGCTCTCTTTTCTACTTCCTTCGCATCAGTGACCAGGAGACTAATCTCTAAAAGATGCAGAATGGAGGGGAAAACCTGAAGGGTTGGCAACCCTTCATGAAGGCAGAGTTTATGGCAGACACAAAAATTTGTAGGGTGGTAATTAATGAGGAGAGCCATAAATTGCAGGGGGATATTAATGGACTGGTGTGTTGGGCAGGGAAGTGGCAAATTCAACCCAGAAAAGTATGAAGTATGCACTTAGGGAGGGCTATCAAGGCAAAGGATTACAAAGTACATGGCAGTGCCCTGGAAAGTACTAAAGATCAGAGGGGCCTTGATGTGCATATCCACAGAGTCCTGAAGATAGCAGGGCAGGCAGATAGGGTGGGTAAGGACACAAATGGAATATCTGCCTTATTAGCTGAGGCACAGAATACAACAGCAAGGAGGTTATGCTGGAACTTTTAAGAAACAGCTATACAAAACCCTGGTTCGGCCACATCTGGAGTGTTGTGTTCAGCTCTGGTTGCCTCATTACAGGAAAGATGTGGAAGTGTTGGAAAAGGTGCAGAGGAGATTTACCAGGATGTTGCCTGGAATGGAGGGAAGGTCTTACGTGGAAAGGTTGAGAGAGCTTGGGTTTTTCTCTTTAGAACGATGAAGAATGAGAGGTGACTTGATAGAGGTGTACAAAGTGATCAGAGGTATAGATAGAGTAGACAGCCAGAGACTTTTTCCTAGGGTGGAGGTAGTTATTATGAGGGGGCATAGTTTTAAAGTGAGTGGAGGTAGATATCAGGGAGACGTCAGAGGTAGGTTCTTTACTCAGAGAGTGATCGGGGTGTGGAATGCATTGCTGGAGAGGGTAGTGGAGTCGGCCTCATTAGGGGCATTTAAGCGGCTATTGGATAGGCATATGGATGATAGTATAAGGGTGGAGGTTAGATAGACCTTAGGCTTAGGGTAAAAGTTCGGCACAACATCGTGGGCCGAAGGGCCTGTACTGTGCTGTACTGTTCTACATTCTATGTTCTAAGCACTGGTTAGATCACAAGTGGAGCACCGTGCGCTGTTATGGTCACTGCATTATGGAAGGGATGTGACTGTACTAGAGAAAGTGCAAATGAGATTTACCAGGGTGTTGATAGACATGTATACAATTATACGGAGCAGAGATAGGTGGATAGGAAGGAACTTTTCCAAAAGCAGAGGGGTCAATAACCATGGGATAGATGGCTAACAGGAGTGTTCAGGAGAATCATTTTTACTTAAGAGGGTGGTTGGAGTCTGGAACTTGCTGCCTAAACTGGGGTTGAGTCAGAAACTCCACAGTACTTAGATACTCACTTGCATTGCTATAGCATCCAGGGCTATGGGCCAAGAACTGGGCGATGAGATTAGTGTAGTCAGATATTTGTTTACCAGTTCACACATGATATGTTGAATGGTCTCCTTCTGTGCTGTAAATGTCTATGAGTCTAACTGTAAGACTTTTATTGTATTGCCACTTTTGAAATTGTTTTATCTCAAACGCTAAATTACAAATAAACATGACTGCTACTAGGACTCTGAAAACAATTCTACCACAACAGTCAACGTGAATTTCAGAAAAATAGTCAATTTTAAATCAATATCTGATCATTTAAATAAGTAATTAATAAAAAAGACCATTAGAAAGTGCCAACCAGCACAGCTAACTAAATAAAGCTTTCCTGCCTTTTTGTATAAGAGGCAGAACTAGAGAAAGTGGAGAATACAGTGAGGGGAAGAGAGAAAGAGCAGAGAGACAGAGAGCGAAAGGAAGAAAGGAGAGCGAGAGTGAGAGAGAGCGAGAGACAGAGAAAGGACGGTTGGGGGGGTGGGGTGGTGGTGGTGGTGGTCAGAGGAAAAAGAGAGAGCAGGAGAGAGTGTGGGAGAGGAGGGGCGAAGAGAAAGACTAAGTCCTGACCATCAGGGAGGGGGTTGGAGACTGGAGCTCAGCTGAGGAGTTGGATTCAGCAAATGGTGACCTCAGTTTGCCTCTAGTTGGCCAAGTGCTTGAATTGGACTTTAGTGAAACACACCTGAAAGTGGGTCACTTTCACCATGGGTTTTCCTCCTCTACCAGCATGTCTTATGGATAAGGTTTCTGTGGGGTGGAGGGTGGGTGGGTGTCTGGCTGAGTCCTACCTAATCAATATCCCAGTCACTTGTTACACTCCCACACATCTCCCTCTCCCCCTGCCCCTCACCCTTGGCCCACCCACCTCTCACCAAACATCCAATGGCCATTCGGCCCGACCCTCAGTTCCTTCCCCCGGTGGGCCTGATAGTATTCACATTCTTCCCCAAAACAGTATCTTTCTGAAAGCCTCCCACAGTTTTCATGCGGCTGTCTCCCCAGCCCAGGTCCAGGCCTCAGGCAGATTGAAATCACTTGAGCTGTGCTGCTCAGTTCTTCTCCAACGCTACTCTGTTTCTCCCCAGCATCCGCTGCTAATTAGGTTCATTGGTGGGGAACTTATCAGAAACCTCTGACTGGAGCTGCAGCTCCTGTAAAAACTTTCCAGCTACAATTACCCATTTTTGGAATTACAGCTGAGCTCAGGACCCCTGAGCCAGTGCTTGCTTCAGGGAGACACTGCTCCTGGGTGGGCTGTATCAAAGCCAATAATAATGCATCCAAAAATTCTGGTATTTTGTTTTCATGTAAAGTGGAACTTAAGAGGCAAGGATGAAATGACCTGCTTTCTTTGTCAACTTAACATTACGTTTCCTCAGCTAGGCCATGTGATTTCTTCTGGATTTGTAGAGCTGCTGGATGATAAAGGCAATACTTAGATTATGTTCATCTTAGACTAAATGTTTAATTTTTGATGGATGCTGAAGAGCTTACACCCATTTTTGTATAATATTGACAGCTTCAATCTTTTCACTATATTTATTTATTCATGCCAGACCTCCAAGGACTGACTCAATATTCAAGATTCATCAATACCAGTGTAGGACTGATCTTTACTCAACTCAGATTTTACTGTAACTGATCAAATGTACGTTAAACAACAGAACTTTAATGGGCAGTCACAGTGAGTACAGTACAAAGACACAATCTATACACTTATCTTTAACAGTGATACACAAGACATTGCACGTACACAATTTGTATTCCTGATTTTAATACCATCCGAGTAAACCTCTAATTAGAGCAAAGCAAGGCTAGGTTTGAAATTCTACACATTGGTTGCGATCGCATGTGGAATGGTCACTGCAAACCCGAAGTTCAAACTTAGTTCATTAGTCCAGTATAATAATAAACTCAATAAAGACAATCAACTAATTTACAGAAACATGGGTTAGAGTTTCTTTGAAGCAGGTTTAAAAGTAGTGTACATGTATTTTCAGATCAATGAATTGGATGGACCATGAATGTCAGTCTTAAACAGGTTCCTTTACATTAAGGCAAGATTGGCAGTAGCAGTGTTAAACTCTCATTGAGAGCTCTTCTGTCATAAGGCACTAAAGCTAACACAACAAGGAGCTGCCAAAACTGATCACAATTTGGTTGTTAGAAGTAACTATAATACTTAAATGTCATAACAATCTGGCTCATACTATAATGTTATATACACTAGAATACTGTAATATCTTCAGATATTAATCTTTGCCTTAAAAAGCACGAAGAGGCATCAGCAGTCCTGGACATTCCTTTGTGTCCAGTATTAGCATTAAGCACCACAAGGTAAACAGACATTACTGTGTCTGATGCACTGTAGAGCTCTCAATACTTGATGGTAAAGCAGTATCCCATCTGAATCAGAAGGCTACTTCACAGCACCCATACAAGCAAATTATTAACTGTCAATAATCTTTCCTGATGACAAAATTATCATAAATTTATGTAAACTGTAATCTTTTAAAGTGCCTGAATTTCAAAGTTAGAGCTCAAACCTATTGTAGTGAGTTTGCTGTCCTTTGCTTCAGATAGATGCTACCGTCTACGTATGAGAATGTCCCAGTTGTCTTTCCAGCGCAAGCCAGTTAACTCAGCTGCTGAAAGAGCTGGATACCCATAGGTGAGGGGACTAAAAGTCTGATATACCAAGTAGATGGAGGAGATCCATGCTAGGACCACGGCATTGAAGGTGTTTCTAGAGATAGAAGACCTGAAATTGGAACAGAAGCAGTTCAGTATTTTGTACAAGTTAATGCTAGATTAGATTTACAGTTGTGCTGAAATGAAAAGGTGTCTTGCTGTGAAGTAGTTCATTGAAAATGCAATGAACTCTTGGGAAGAGGCAATTCGCAGGATTAGTATACTTTTCTTCAGAATAGTTGTGCACTATATATACCTGAGGATGTGATTGTGGATATGCTCAAGAACGATGGGCAGTAAAAGGATTTTGAAGGTGAGGCCAGGCAGGTAATGATACAGAAAAAGCGTTTTCTCCATCAAGAAAAATGGCACATAATTAACAGCCCATCCTCCAACACAGATGGCCCCAGCCAGAACTAAATGCTCCCAGGAATCTATTAGAGACAATAAGAACATTCAAATTATAATAGCAGTAGTAAGATACTAGGCACGTCATATATTGAGTAGTTATTTATGAGATGATAATAATACTTTATCAATTGGAACCAGTACCAGTAAATCAAAAATCAGATGTTTCAACACAAATAGTTTTGAACAAGCTTCCTATATAGCATATATATGAAATGCATTCAAAACTACTTAAATGGAAATACGTAAGAAGTAAAAATAAGTGCACTTTGAAAGGTTGCTTGGTTACAAACGGCACTCTCTTGCTCGTCCCACAAACTCCATTAAGTAAACATTGTGATGGGAGAACATATGCATAATGTCTTCTTTCATCTGTGCACAAACTGGTCAGTAGTATAGTCAAGAAGCATCTACTATAAAATGAAAAAGTCATAGAATCCCTAGTGTGGAAACAGTCCCTCCAGCCCAACAAGTCCACACCGAACCTCAGAGTATCCCACCCAGACCCGTCCCCTTGTAACCCACCTAATCTACTCATCCCTGAACACTATGGGGAATTTAGCATGGCCAATCCACCCTAACCTGCACATCTTTGGACTGTGGGAGGAAACCGGAGCACCTGGAGGAAACCCACACAGACACAGGGAGAATGTGCAAACTCCACACAGAGAGTTGCCCGAGGCTGGAATCGAACTCGGGTCCCTGGTGCCGTGAGGCAGCAGTGCTAACCACTGAGCCACCGTGCCGCCTCTAAATCATTACAGCTCACAACTCACTGCCCCGAAGACCTAGACATTGATCTACAGATACATCACAATTGTTGTAGATCGAACTGACAAGTTAACTGTAGCCTCCACTGGCATGGTCATACTGTAAAAGCTACAGGGCAAAAACCGAAACAAGAAAATTCAGAGAATTTCAATATATGTCTGGAAATACAACAGCCCATCTGCTTTAGAGGCGAAAAAAACACAAAAAGGATGTTAATGCTCCTTAGTAACAAATTATTACACACAGGCTATTAAGAGTCAACCAAAGTGTGGAGGTGGAGTAACAGGAGTCAGATTGAGTAGAGATGGTTAACTCCCTTCACTGAGAGACACTTGTTTTAACTTAAAAACACCAGCATTCAGTTGCTTATTTCAGATTCAATGAACACACTTTTTCAACTTGCAATGGTGGCTTTAGAACTCAGGATCATTCAGTTGTTCATACAAGGCCACTGCTCTAAGCCAAACTTACCAAACGTTTTATACATTGAGGCAGATTGGCGCATGCAGTCCATTATTTTTCAGTTGGGATATTGGAGCTACTCTAAAACAGACACTTTCCTTGTCCTGCAACAAATTGGCTTAACAAAGCTGTAATTTTTTTTTTTCTTTATTCAATCATGGGATGAGGGCATCACTGGCCAGGGCAGCATTTATTGCCCAGAGGACAATTAAGACTCAACCACATTGCTGTGGATCTGGAGTCACATGTAGGCCAGACCAGGTAAGGATGGCAGTTTCCTTCCCTAAAGGACACCAGTGAACCAGATGGGTTTTTCCCGACAATCGACAATGGATTCATGGTCATCATTAGATTCTTAATTCCAGATATTTACTGAATTCAAATTCCACCATCTGCCATGGCAGGATTCGAACCCAGGTCCCCAAAACATTACCTGGGTTTCTGGATTAACAATCCAGTGACAATACCACTAGGCCATCATGACGACTAAAATCCTAATAGGCATAACAAGCAACGCAGCTGCTTCCCAGTGAGGGAGTACTGCAGTGTGCCAGATGCCATGCTCCCAATGAGATGGTAAACTGAGGCCCCATGTGCCACCACAAGTGGATTGCAAGCCACTGTTCAAAAGAACAACAAAGGGTCTCCCTCATGACCTGCCCAACATTTATTCCTCAACTAACATCACAAAACAGGTCATCTTCTGATCATTATTGCTATTTGTGGGCCCTTGCTTGTTGCCTCACTGACATCCTCACAGTGGCTACACTTCAAATGTACTTTGCAGCTGAAATACACTTTTGGGATATTTCTGAGGTCATGCAAAGTGCTGTGCAAGTTCTTTCATACTTCCATGTTTGTAAGACTGATTGTATGCATCAAGTGTTGGAACAGCTAAAACATGTTTTGCATTTAATCTTAAATGCACGTAATAAGAAACTGTTAATTGAGCCAAAGTTACCTTCTGGGATGGTGTAGATTCTCCTATGCTGCCTGAGCAGATGCCAGAGGAAAAGCACCAGATAAACAATAAGTCCAGCAGTTGCTGATGACCACGTTATAATATTCCCAATCAGCTGTACTTGTGCCTGTGGAGCAAGTTTCAACATTCAAAAGGGAAAGATGCCCTACCAACATTTCAACGTAATGAGATTTTTCATACCCCTGAAATTGTAGTTGATTTTTTTTTAGAATAAAAAGATGTTCGCTGAATTATAATCTATTCAGTCAAATCAAAGATACTTCCTGTTCTGTTGTATTTTAATCACTTCATTCCAACTAGCAGATAACAATTTTTTTTTACAAAGCAAAAGATGTAAAATTAACTGGAGTGGACGAAACTGGACATCCAGTGATTTTGTATAAACTTGCCCTGGTCTAGCTATGGCAGGACTTGATTCTGCCATTTTCCTGCTGGCAAACTCCAGAGGCCAGTTAAATTATTAAGGAACCTACTAAGCGCAAACAAGGGCGCCTAGCCAACGGAATTCCTGATTATTGCCACCCTGCTGCTCACTGGAAACACAGGAATACTGTCACACTTCACACACCACCAGAGTCCAAATTTCCTACCTTTTTGAGGTAGTTATGGGATGACACTGATGGCAGTGCATTGTTCTTCTCTATCTAGACATGGTATGCGATGTGAGCAGAACAACAATTTGCATCCATTTCAGTAGCAAATTCTCAAAGATTTCTTTTTGCTTCTAGTTTGAACCTGCTCTCCCAATATAAAGTGCTCACCAACAAGTCTGCACTGGTGTTCTGCACCAGAATTCAGCAATTTTTCTCTTAAGAGCAGAACTGGTAGGCAAATCCCAAAAAGTACAAATGAGAGTTGAAACATCAACTGCACATTTTTATAGGAATAAGATAAATATCGCTAAATTTGATCATTACATTGGTGCTAGGATGAAGCCAATAGGCAATATTAGTGTCCATGTTTATCCATTCCAGAGGGGTCGAGCTGTACTTGTGTTCAGTCTCTTCACTCTTCAACATCATCATCTTCAGCTGAAGAAAACACAAGAAGTTCATATTATACTGAAGGTACAACACAGAAATAAGCAGTCAATCTTTGCCCAAATTTATGCTTCACATGAACCTTGTCCCACCCCTCTTCATCTCACCCAGTCAGTTTATCCGTCTTAATCTTTTCATCTTTCCATTTTTATCTACTTCCCTTAAATAAATTCTTCACTGTTCACCTCAACCACACGCTGTGCTTGCAAGTTCCACGATCTAACTACTCTCAGGGTAAAGACGTTTCTCCTGGATTCGCTGATGGATTCATGAACGTATACATTTTTATTATCTTCTCAGGTCTTCCTTCACAAGATCAACAAGTCTTTGAATTCAGTATATAACTTTTACAAGTTCTTTAACATTTGTATTTTCCTTTTTACCTTCTTTATCAAGAGACAACTGAGGGACAGGCAACCTACATTAAATCACCTGCTAATGGCGCCAGGGAAAGCTGCAAGAGCATTAGGGGTGATTCACTGTCCCTGTGGGAAGGTAGCCATTGTACAGTGTTAGCTGTGGCTCACGGCACAATACACTCACCTCTGCATCAGGGTTGTGGGTTCAAGCCCCATTCTACAGACGTGACCACAAAACCTAGGCTGACATTTAAGTGCAGTACTGAGGGAGGCAATGAATTTCGAATGAGATTTGAAACAAACACCCTTTTTTCCCCCCTTAGGACAGGCTCTTTACTAAACAACAGCAGGTGGGCTCTCTTCAGAGCATGGTTCAACATTTATATCTCACCCAATATAACTAAGACAAATTATTTGGGCATTATGACATTGCTGTTTGTGGGAGTTTTCCGTGTGCAAATTAGGTGCTGCTTGTCCTACATTACCACAGTGGCTACACTTCAAAGTTCTCTGGAACTCTCTGGGATTGCGATAGGTGTTATATTAATACAAGTCTTTATTTCTTTCATACTGAGATTGCAAGGCTGGATTACAAACACACCGAGGGGATCAAGTAAATGAACCTGTGATTTAGCAAATTACAATACAGAACGTTAGAGTTCCAACTCCCTTCCGAACCTGTACATTTTGTTGAGCTTATCATTTGCAGAAGGTAGTTTACAAAAAAAAACTCTACATTTCCGAGCTTGTACTCATTCTGCATTTACAAAAGCAATGGTGAGGGATAACTAACTCACTGAGCTAAAACATTACATTCCCTTCTGATGATCATTTTATTTAAACTCAATAATTCAAAGGTAGCAGTGCAACCTTGTTTGGTCTGCAAATGCAGTTAATGTTTTTGAGCACGTACCCTTTAGTAAATTGCTTGAGTTATTCTTGCCTGAAAGCAGGAGCCAATGCTTCACTGAGTTTTATATTCTTTTTCAATTAATGAAAGCCCAGGGATAAACTGAGGCTTCTCAGTTGACTATTAACCTGTTGGGGGTTCAGCATTTGTAGTGCAAGGTGGCTGAACACAGAAAGAAAGGCAGTGTTTGAATGCTGGAATATGAGCAATTTCAGCTGACACCAATTCATTCTAGCCTCTGATGCACCAGGTCTCACATTACCCCACAAATCCGAGTCAACGCCTATCCAAAATGTTTCCAAGTCTCCCTCCTGCTCAGTGCTTTAAATACGAATGCCATCCCCTTCCTGATCAAGGTCTCAGCAGTATCAAAGAGAGATACAATCAGCAAACATTGGTTGAAAGCGTTTCTAGTCTTTGCTATCTGAAAGGCACCCGTTGCCTTGAAGTGGGAATAGAACAATTTCAGACTGGGACAGAAACTGAAGGTGCTTGTATCTCGAAGGAACCTCAGTTTTCTCTCATGCAAGAGGTGGCATCAAGCAGAAAGGAAGATTTGAAGCCACATTTGGTGCTCAAATCACGTGGATACCTCTGAAGCACAATGAGTTGGAAAAATTATTTTCAAAAGCACCTTAAGGACACTGCTTGAACATCAAGCCTTAATTGTTGACCTCATCTTAGTATGTATTAGCCAGAATCCTGAAATCCTTGCTTATCTCCTGGGTTTAAATTTTAAGTGGCATTTCATAGAATCCCTTCAGTGTGGAAAAGGCCATTCAGCCCAACAAGTCAACACCAAACCTCGAGGAGCATCCCACCCAGACCCATCCCCCTTCCCTACCTCTGTAATCCGTGCATTTCCCATGGCTAACGCACCTAATCTACACATCCCTGGACACAATGGGGCAATTTCTCATGGCCAATCCACCTAACCTGCACATCTTTGGACTGTGGGAGGAAACCGGAGCACCCGGAGGAAACCCACGCAGACACGGGGAGAACGTGCAAACTCCACACAGACAGTCGCCCGAGGCTGGAATTGCACCAGAGTCCCTGGTGCTGTTAGGCAGCAGTGCTAACCACTGAGCTACCATACTCCCCTATTTAAATAGTAATGAATCAATATTGGAAGATCAGGAAATGGGAAACAGAAGTTCCTTGCAACAAATCCCTCTGTTAAATGGCAGGGCAATGATAGTCCTTGTTAAACAAGGCCAACCCAGGGCAACAGTTGGGGCCTCAGTACAAATGCATGGTGCACTTCTGAAGTGCCCCCTCTACAAACTGAGTGAAAGATTACTCACTTTAAACTGAGCAAACGAAGAGGTGATCACTTGTCTTCAGGAATTTACATTCATAAACCAAAATAAATTGGAAGATCTTAGCAAGGTGAGCATAAGTATGCTTTTGTAATGATAAAATAATCAAGTTTGAGATAGAAGGGAGTAGGAGGAAAAAAGTATCAGGGAGACCTATAACACCCTTGACTAGTACTTGGCAGCATTGGTGAGAAGTAGATAAAAAGTAATCTAATGCTAGTCAAATACAGGCAACTTCTGGTTGCATGATGCAACTGAGGGGGAATGGCAGGATAATCGAAAATTAATTGCAGAGAACAAAAATCTATCATTCAAATGTACAGTCCAAATACTACTTTAAACTCTTAAATAATTACATCTGAAAAAAATGTCACCAGGTTTGGACTGCTTACTTATTAAAAGACTCGATTATACTTATTCGGGTGTCTGTTTTATATCTGAGGTAGTGCACTTGCCTCTGCATTAAGAAGCTCGTGGGTTCAAGTTCCATTCCAGAGACTGGAGCTCTTAATCTCAACTGACACTTTTGCACAGTACTGAGGGAATGCTGTAGTGCCCAAGATGCCGTTTTTCTGGAGGCTTGCTAAACTGAGACCCTGCTGCTATCTTGGACAAACATGGAAGATCCAACAACATTCTACAGAGAACAGTAGGGGAGTATGTCCCAGTGTTTGTCAATATTTATCCCCCAAAGCATATCACTATAATAGAGTACCCTGACCACAGTTGTTTGTGTAATTCTACTGTGCACAAACTGGCTACATTTCCTATGCAAGAACGATTACATTCATTGTTTGGAAAGCACTTTGGGACGTCCTGAAGTTATGAAAGGTACAATTTCTTTTCTGCATTCTACCTACTACATAACCAAGTGAACTTCATAACATTGAAACGTCAGCCTCTCTGCTCCTATGATGCTGCTTGGCCTGCTGTGTTCATCCAGCCCTGCACCTTGTTGTCTCGGATTCTCCAGCATCTGCAGTTCCTACTATCTCTGATTCAATTCATAACATTGATGATGCCATTACTTGTAATTCCAGGAATTTAGCCATAAAGCTGATGTTCTTGCTGACATCCATCTGTGCTGGAGTCTGAAGTTCTAGCTCTCTCTCCTTTTGCTCCTCACCTCAGGGGAAAAAAAAAGAAAAAAAAAGACATAATAGTTTTTAAAAAGGCACCATTATGGAATGTAAAAGTATGCAGAAATGCCAGAAGGTTTCAGTGGAATATCCCTTTCCATTTCAAAGCTCATATTCCCAACTGTTACAGATCAACATATTTCACTTCTATCACTTTTGTTGACTAATATTTTAGAAAATAATACATTTTAGCAGTTACAGGGCAATCAAATTTTCAAATAGCATCACACAAAGTGAAAATGTATTTTTGCATTTTGATTCATTTGTCAGAAATCCGAAGACTGGCTTTCCAATAAGCCATCCTAAATTTCAACAGACTAGCGTTTGTAGAAAACTACATCTTGGGTATCAGTCTGTTGGCTTATACATGGGATCACGTGCCTTTTAGTGAACACAACTACTGACCTGGTTGAAAGGTAGTAATGAGAGGGGAAGAAAGCAGAAACAAAATGGGCACTTCCTGGCTTCAAATAGGCTTTTATGGCTTTGCTATGAATTAATTTCCTTCTGCCATATGGATTTGTCTACACCTTCAGGGAAATGGTAAGGGTGTAGGGAGGATTTAAGGGAATGGTGCCTCCCAGGCACCACATGTGGCGAGCCAATTGGTCTTAGAAGTCAAAATTCCTCTTGTTTACAAGGGCCTAACTTCTTAACGAATTTATGCAAACACCAAATCTTACTCATTTCAACAACAGTTTGTATGTCATTATATAGGAATATTGAAAATAGGAGCAATAGTAGGCTATTGGGCCCTTCAAGCCTGCTCCACCATTCAATATGATCATGGCTAATCTATTTATATAGCACCAGCAACATTGCTAAAAGTCCGACAGGAGAGTGGTCAAACAACATTTATTACTGAACCACATGAGGAGACATTTGGGCAGACAAAAGCTTGGCCAAAAAGATAGCATTCAAATCTGCTTTAAGGAGAGAATCCAGACATTAGGGCTCAGGAAGCTGATAGCATTGTGATTAATGCAACAGTGATTAAAACTGGGGATGTCCACTGAGCTAGAATGAAAAAAACAGCAGTCATCTCAGAGGACTGTGGGCTTGAGGAGCGTACAGAGGTAGAGAAGGTTTGCCTACAGAGGCATTAGGAAACAAGGATGGGAATTTTAAAATCCCTACCTCTGACAACTTGGACTCCATTTCATACCTTCAAGTCTGTTTTTAATAGTCAACAAAGAGCCTTACTTTTCCCATAACGGTGCTCCTCCACATTCCATGCCATGTTCTGGTGATAAACCTGGGAACTTTTATCTCCAACAATCTCCAGCTGGCGATACCCCCAATCGGGCAATGCTGTACCACTAAGCTACGAGGGAAAAAATGCAAGAAAAATCACCGGACTGAGAAATTTGAAAGTAGGGAATAGTTTAAAATAACACTGATCATAAAAATATCAATAACTTTTTATGAGAAGCTGAAAGGTAAATAAAGGCAGTGCCTTCCCAAATTAACCCAACAGGAGTTGGGCTTTTAACAGATATCAGAGATGTCGGCTTTCTTCATCCCTTTAAAGGAGAAATACACCATTAATTAAAACATAAAGGTGAACCTTTAAGCACTTGGTTTCCTATTGCAAAACCTGGAGCTTCACTCAAAACTCAATGTTGCTATACTGAGCTTATACAGGCATTATAAGCTTATAGTGAGCTTATAAAAGCATGTAAACCATGTAGAGAAATATCAACTTTCTTTATGGCAATTCATCTGACTCCCCAACGCTGCAGTCAAGGTAATGAATCTAGAGTGGAGGGAATGAAGAAAAAGCCAACTGAACACCCCCACCCCCTTCCTCCCCCACCCTGAACCCGATGACACCAACCTGAAATAACACCATTCTTCAACATTTATGGACCAATTAACACAGATATGCAGCCTCACTGTAAATAGCAGCAATATTTACATTCTAAGTCTGATCAATCTTTGAGATTCTGAACTTCTTTCACCATTTTCATCAAGTAACATAAAACATTTCATCTCTATCTAACAGAAACGTTGCTACATATATTCTACTCATGATAATTACCATTTGTTCACCAACAATGATTTGAATTAATCAATGCAAATAACAGAAGGTTGAGATCTTGCTACTAAATGCCTGAATTATAGATAATTTGATTCATGGGCCATTAAATTAACAGTAGTATCTATGCCAATTGAAAATCTCTATATGCCCAGTGGTAGGTAGCCTTTAAATATGTTTAGAAGACACCAGGGAGCACTGAATGCAGCAGACCAGATGTTTCTTTAAAAACTGGACCATTTTTATAAAGTTAAAGGCATTATAAAGTCATGTGGTGAATAAGAAGAGTTACAAATTACAACTGTAAAGCGATAATTACAATCGCAGTTGTTAGTGTGAAGATTACTGTATATATTCATGTTAATGTCAAAGGAATGGACAGAAATTTAGTCTGAACATCAAATGTTTGCACAAGAACAGTACATGGTCAGAAAATACATCCACTACAAGAGGACAAAGGAAGTATACATTTAGAAACAGATTTTTCAGGCTCATCAAGCAAATGACAAAAGGGTGCAGATGTGCTAATTTTTAAACACATCTGTATAAGGGCTATGAATGTTTTGAATCCTCTAGACACTCAACTCCTGGGAACATAATACGAGTTGCAGCCAGCAAGGCTGGAGCTCTGGATTAAATCTGTACTTGTGTGCAGACCGTGGTAATATATTTTAATTTGGTAAGAGGACATGTACTTTAAAAGCTACAAGGGACATCGAACATTAAGAGGCCAAGTGTCTCTCCACCTTTAATACTGCAGATGTGTTCACGTGCAAAAGTTTCACTTCTGATAAGATAGTTTTCCACACTTCATTCTTAGTGTCACGATTAACAATTTCCTAAAACAAAAAAAACACAATAGGAAACACAGATTAGTAAATTCTAGCCTTGAGATTATCGAGTGGTGGTGATGGTGACAGAAGTAAAGAACATGTGATCTACAGAGAATAGCATTTAACATCCACTGCTATATCTTTCAGCATGCTTAGAAAGCAGGCATCTCAACAAGCCTAAATAAATGATGCAACTGAAACTAATGATACCAGATCACAGTAACCAGCTTTAAACACAACACCATGTATTAGTCCTTGGGGAAATTAGTCACTGATTGCATGACCTGGAGGAAGACTGAATTTTGATGTCATGTATGACTTACATTACAAAATTAGAAATTAAAGTGGGACCACTGGCATTTCATTAATCGCCAAAATGTTGTCAAGTTGACTTTAACAACTGTGGTGCTGGAGTCTGTACAACAAATAGAAATCTAACATCAAAACGCTGTATTTTTTAAATTCAAGCTCCCGGATCCTAATAATACCATGAAGTCCTGATGCTCACTCTATCCTTTTTTCTGATTTGTTACATAGCACACAAGTAGGCCAATCAGCCCCACAAATCTATGCTTACAGTTAATGAGCCTCCTCTTAGCACATAACCACATCCTCCTATTCTTTTCTCTCTCATGTATTTATTAAGTTTCCTCTTAAATGCATCAATTCTATTTGTGTCAACCACTCCTTGTGGTAACAAGTTCCACATCCTAACCATTCGTTGATTAAAGAAATTTCTGCTAAATTTCCAATTGAAATTATTAATGAATATTTTGTATTTATGGTCCCTAGTTTGGGTCTTCTCTACAAGGGAAATGATTTTCTCTCCACTTACCCTATCATATCCTTTCGTAACATTAAAGAACTTGATCAAGCCTCTAGTCAGACTAACTTTTTATGGCCGCCTCAGTCCTAAGTTCTGAAATTCATTTCCTAAATCTTGTCAGCTCTTCTCTTTTTAACGTTGCCACAAAAACAGAAGACCGTATGACTCCTTGCTCATTAGGGAGAGGGGACTGGTAGTGGTTTATCCTGAAGGTTACCATGCCTCAGGAGAGGGAAGAGTTGAGAATGGTAAACTCAGCTGATATGGGAGTTGAATCCATGCTGTTGGCATCACTCTGCATTGCAAAACAGCCATCCAGCCAATTGAGCTGACTGATCCCTTCTCTTTTACAGCATTGCTCAAAACCTGCCTTTTCATCAATCATTGGTTATCTGTTTCATTATCTTGTGTGGCACAGTATCACTTTTTTTTGATAATACCTTGGGACATTTTACTGAGTTAAATGTACTATTACGAATGCAAGTTACAGCCATTATTTTTAGGCACTGTACACTAACATTTGGGCAGTAGCCCTGAGGCCACTTTTTAAAATATCTGCAGCGGTCGTCCCTCACAAAGATTTGAAAACCACTGATCTAATATTTGAGATAGGCTGGACAAATTCCACTCAGTACTTACCACTTTCCACAGGTTCTGTGATGGCATCGAGATATTGTAATCAATGTAACAGGATATCTCCTGCCAATGAGGACTCATAGGAGCTGCAACATCATGCCTAAAGTCAACACAATGAATTTTGTAAGTCAAAAATAAATACACTGATTATTATTTAACTTTTATTTTAAAGCAACATGAATTGAGGTGATTTAAAGGCTCAGTTGTTGTCGCGACATTTCATAGCACAGTGTAGTAGATTCTAAAATGACACACGCATGAGATGCATCTTTAGCATCTTATTGTACTGTTCAATTAAGCCAATTCAGCTCTGGATTTAGGGATGAACACAGCCAAGCAAATGCAGTGCTGAAAATATGAATGAAATATGAATAATTAAAACTGACAGCTGGGAACTCCTTTTTACGTGTCACTTAAAGAAGGTTCTTTCAGTGATGCAACAATTTCTCAACAATGAGTACAGGAGTTTTAGCCTCAAATTCAGCCTAATTTACACACATATCGTGTCACCATAGTCTAACTAGACCACGGGGCCGCTCTCTCATTAATGAGAGATGACTGGTGGTGGTTTAACCTGAGGGCGACCACATCTCAGGCAAAGGGAGAGAACGAAAAGGAGAGTTTTCGTGGTAACCTCAGCCAGAGATGGGAATTGTCATCACGCTGCTTTGCAAACCAACTGTCCAGCCAACTGAGCTAAACGCATAAATCCCAATGCAACTGTAGGACACAAATGATGGGGGTTACATACCAAATTAGATGGGGAACAAACAAAATAGAAATGATCAGGGATAGAAAATCGGCAGAGCTACAGGTGAAGAGCAGGGCAGTGGGACGAATTGGAAAGGTCCTTTAAAGAGCTAGAACTGCCTTGACGAGTTAAAGGGCCTCCATCAGTGATACAGTTATCTCCACCAACTCTGACACATGCTGCACCAGAGGAGAGACCCAACATCGGTTCTGTTTATCTGATGAAGAGTCTATGTGCTGCCAAAAGGAAGAAATGGGGAGTTTTTTTTTCCACAAAACAGGTCTTTGAGTTTTTGATACCAGAAATGAATGGCTGTAATTTAAAGCTCAGTTCTGCTACTGGTCAGAGAGGTGAAGAAATTTAGGTACAGCATAACCTTAGCATACCATCATCTTGTTAACAGAATTATGCTGAAACACAGCAAGTTCAACATCATATAGAGGGGCGAAAGATGTTTTGGGGTTTATGTGTTTCTAACAGTTTCTGCATTTACTTCATACTTCCACCTTTCGACTTGACTGGCTAAATATTCTGAATTAAGGTCCAATTTATACAAGAGGGCATAAGGTTTTCTGTTTAGAGTTCATACTTGGGAACAAACAAACTCCATCATTCCACTGTCAAAACTGATCAACACAGTGTACAAACACAAGATAATGGGAAATGCAAAATAACGCTAAGGTAACAGCAAGCGTTTTAAACATACGTGTTGAGGTAACGTGCTGTCATCCCATGGACAAGCTGCACAATATCACCATGGCGAACTGGGCGAGGGGGGTTGCTGACAACAAGCTCTTGTCTGAAATAAGAAAACAGTCACATTATACAGTCCACACATTTTGGGTTAAATAACAGTAGGTTAAGGATTCCTAGAGAAGAATACAGGATCAGGTTTAACTTCAGCCCCATCTGCCCCCAACATTCAACTAGTGTGGGCCACTACGTAGGGTCCCTGCCTAGGGCCAATCTTGCACTGAGAAAAGTGAAATGGCCCTTCTGTTGCACACAATCATAGCTCCTGACCCATTTTCCTTTCCTTCTCTGGACTGTAAGCAATCCTCATGGCAGCAAATATGCAGCACCATTATATGATTCACCATCCAACCTCCAACCACAAGTAGAAGTTGTCATTTTGGAAAAATGTCTAAATCTCCTTAAACGTTGTCCATTTCCCAATCTGTTACCACATACTTGCCGGGGTCTTTTACAATCCACCAGTTGTTCACATCTTTAAAAGGATAGCAGGTTACTTGCTGCTGGTGGGAGCTACCTCTGCCACTGTCATACCTGCAAAACAAAGTTACAGTTGAAGAATAGCACTTTTGACAGTGCAGCACTCCCAACAGTGCAGTATTCCACTGTTATTGTAATGAAATGCATAAAGCCTGGGGTTAATGTTACATTCTTTGGGAAGGTGATATGGAAGACTGCACCATCTAATGGACAGGGTAAACACAATGGATCTAATCAGCTATTCCGGTTCTTCATTTCACTTGCACCCAGAATGATGATGCCTGTAGCATTACCCACATTGAATCCTGTTCTCTCAAAACCTCTGTGCCCGTTGACCCAACTGGCCCCTCTCCAGCAATACCCCAGTTTTAAAATTCTCATTCTTCAAATCTTTCATGGCCTTACCTCCCTAACGCCGTAGCCATATAACCCTCCAAGGTCTCTACACATCTCCAATCTTCCCCAGTTGTAATCGTGCCATTGGTGGGCATGGTGATGGCTGTCTGGGCCCTAAGGCCAGAGTGGAGGCCAGCGAGGGGGGGACAGAGACCTGGAGCGGAGGCTGGCGAGGGGGAGTATGGAGTCCCAGAGTGGGGGCTGGCAAGGGGATGGGAGTCCCGGAGCGGGGGCCGGTGGGGGGGGGAATGGTGACCCGGAGCAGAGGCCGGCGAGGGGGAATGGGGTCCCGGAGAAGTTTTAGAGATAGTAAGAATTGCAAATGCTGGAGTCAGAGATAACAAGAGTGTGGAGCTGGAGGAACACCGCCACCTGCAATCTGACCCCACAACCAAGGATATATTTCCCTCCTGACCCCAATCTGCCTTCCGTAGGGACCACTCTCTCCGCAACTGCCTCGTCTGCTCCACACTCCCCAACCAGCCCCACCACCTCTGGCACCTTTCCCTGCAACTGCAGGAAGTGCTACACCTGCCCCTACACCTCCCCACAAGGAACCATAAACACCTTCCACATTCGACAGATGTTCACTTGCACATCTGCTAACGTGGTTTACTGCATCCGCTGCTCCCGATGTGGCCTCCTCTACATCAGAGACACCAAGCGGAAGCTCAGAGACCACTTTGTAGAGTACCTGCGTTCTGTTCGCAACAAACGACACCTTCCAGTCGCGAATCACTTCAACTCCCTCTCCCACTCCCTGGGTGACATGTCCATCCTGGGCCTCCTCCAGTGTCACAACGATGCCACCCAGAAACTGGAGGAGCAGCACCTCGTATTCCATCTTGGGAGCCTACAACCCAATGATCTCAATGTGGACTTTACCAGTTTCAAAATCTCCCCAGCCCCGGCCTCATTCCATGACCAACCCTCCCTCTCATCCCCGCCTCCTTGACCTGACACAACCTGTCCATCTTCTCGTTCCTATCTGCTCCTCCCACCTCACTGACCAATCCCCACCTCTCCCTACCTGCACTCACCTATCACCATCTCACCTACCTTCCCAAGCCCCACCCCTCATCTCTATTTATTTCTGAGCTCCCTTCCCCCTCCCCCATTTCTGAAGAAGGGTCCCGACCTGAAACGTCAGCTTTCCTGCTCCTCTGATGCTGCCTGGCCTGCAGTGTTCCTCCAGCTCCACACTGCGTTATATCAGAGAAGCCTTACCATGGAGCAGCTGAGTGTCAGTGTGGAGTGGAATGGAGGCTTGGAGCGGAACGGGGACAGTTGTTGGAATGGGGTCAGTTGTTGGAATGGGGTATGGTGCGGGCAGTCAGACCATGTGGAAGCCCCTGCACTCAGCTACTGCAATGTAATGTTTATCTGTAATTTGTTAATATGACTGCAATGACTATTCTTTTCACTAGGACATATTTCTGTAAAGTAATACAACTAGGTGCTTGTACTTTAGATGGCGCCATAAGAGGCGACATTGTAAAACTTTTCACTGTACCCCATACATCTGTACTTGAGTATTTGTGACGATAAAAGATATTCTCAATTCTATTCTAAGTCCTGGATAACCCTGCACTAAACCTCTCTATCTTTATGTTTTGTCAAACCTCCTATATGCTCAATTTTGTTTGGCAACACTCTTGCAAATCACACTGGAATATTTTATTATATGAAATATTATTTAGAAATGAAACTGTTGTCATTATAATTGTTGTCAAACACACAACATCGCTGACAAGGCTCATAGCATGTCGATGACAGGTTCAAGCACTGTGCTGTTGCAGTAATTGTACATACAAACCACTGGGTACAACTTGACCTAGAGTCTATAAGACCTCCCCACCCCGCAGCTCCCCAGCGAACATATGTGCACAGTGCACCCAGAATCCATAAATATAATGACTTTTAAAACTTTGTTCATGGGTATGGGGCGTGTCTGGCTGGGCCCTCCCTAATTGCCCTGGAGAAGGTGGTGGTGAGCTGCCTTCTTGAACTGCTGCAGGCCTTGGTACATAAGAACAGCCATAGTACTGATAGGGAGGAAATTCCAGGATTAACCCAGCAACTACAAAGGAATGGCCAATATAGTGTAAAGTCAGGATGATGTGTGGCTTGGAATGGAACTTACAGATAGTTAATGTGTCACATGAATCTCTACCTGATGGGGTACATGTTCTTGTGGGAATGCAGCCAGCAGGGAACAGGTTTGCTCCAAACATTCCGCAGAGTAATCTGGGAACCATAGGCTATTTCAAGAGGTTGACCTTGGGTGATCCTTGCAAGTCCACCCTGTAAAGGAAATCAAGTGCAATTTTCTCATCTACTTGGGAAATGGCATTTGAATAAAACATATACTTGATTAATATTTATGCTCATGAAGGCAAGGAATATCAACTAATTGGAACAGATTGTTTCTGCATTCCTCCCTACCACAATCTGGCCGAAGTTCTCTACTGGCATTCTCCTTTCCTGAAGCTGCTTATAGTTCTACAGTTGTTCTCAGGTTCCTCACTACTGTGGTCCTTCTCATGCTAACCTTGATCAGGAACACTGGCAAACTGTTCAAACAAAGGCCTTTGGAACTCATCTCTTCATTCTATATAGGAATTACCAACATGGCTTGGCATCAATTGCAGAAACTTGTCTCCCTCCTCCAGTAGGAAGAGGCAGTGAAGCCACCATCTATTGTGTTCTGACTTCTGGCTGACCAGAACTACTTATGGAAGATAATTATGAAAGATAAAGTAATGCCATTAACTAAATCACAGTAAGGTATCCTGTAGCTGAACAGAATCATTGACATATATCAGTTCCCAATCGCACTACGGAAGGAGGTGGCCATTCTGCCCATTGTGTTTGTGCTGGCTGAGAAATGAGCTATCCCGCCTAATCCACTTTCCAGCTCTTAGGCTCACAGTATGTTAACAACACTTCATGTACATATCAAAATATTTCTTACATGTATTAAAGGTTGTTGCATCTACCTTTCAGGCAACAACCTCCAGATGCCACTATCCTTGGGGTGAAAAAGATCTCTCAACTAGCCTTTCTACCAATTATTTGAAATTTAGACCCATTTCAACTGTTTAGACCTGCTTCCTTTTTGGGTGTGGGGATGTTAGTCTTTCCTATGTACTCCATTCAGGTCTCCCATAATTTTAGACATCTGAATTAAATGTCCCCTCAGCCTCCTCTGTCCCAAGGAAAACAACCCCAGCCTATCCTATCTTCTGTCACAACTAACATGCTCCATTCCTGCAAGATCCTCACGAATCTCCTCTGTACTCTCTTCATTGTAAAGACATCCTTCCTATAATGCGGTGACCAGAACTGTATACAAAACTCTGCAACGAAACAAGCATTTTATACCGTTCTACCATAACCTCCCTGATCTTATATTTTATGCCTTGGATAAGTAAGGAAAGCATAAAATACAATTAAATGCAATTATAACCTGGAACTCTTTCTGAGTTTCATAAGTCAACAAGAAAATCTGCAAAATATTTGAGTTTAACCTTCCTTTTAGCCTTGGGGCCAACTAATCTTTGGTGTTGCTCAGTGCTTAATCAGACCTGATAACGTGAGTGCATCCTAGAGCCAAAGTGAACTGTGAATGTAAGGAGATGTAGAGCTGGATGAACACAGCAGGCCAAGCAGCATCA